AGAGAGAGAGAGAGAGAGAGAGAGAGAGAGAGAGAGAGAGAGAGAGAGAGAGAGAGCTGTTTCGCCGCAGTTCGCACGAGGAGAGGTTTTCGGGCTGGGTCCCGCCTGTCCCTTTGACCCGCCTGCCCGAGAAAGCGGCTGCTTTGGATTTCTGCCGCCGCTTCTTGAGAAGAGCGCCGAGGCGAGCACAGGTGGAGCGAAGAGAGCCGGCGGGCGATCCCCTGATTTCCTTTGCAAAGGCGGTATAAAAGGGGGGAGCAGGCAGGGAGGAGAGGGGGGGCGACGCTTCCCCCCTCCCAGCTCCAGTCCTTCGCCCACGCTTTCTGGCCTCAGGGGTCTTCCGGAGGGGCTGCGAGGGTCCCCCTTGCTGGTTTCTAGCCGAGCAATTGCGGGGGATCCGGGAAATAAGGACGCCCCCTGGAAATTGGGGTGGGGGAATGAAGGGCTGGTGGTAGGGTCCGTTGGGGGCCAGAAGGGGGGAGGAGGCGGTGGGGGGGGGGCTCCTGGGCAGAAATGCTTTTGGGGAAGCCGCTGGGAAGGTGGTCCCGGGGAGTTGGGGAACAGAGAGAGTTTCTACCCATCGGGCAGTCGGAGGCAGTGTGGGGTTCTCCGGGGAAGCTGCGGGGAAGGTGGTCCCGTTTTGAGCGTGGAACCTGGGGCCCATCACTCCTTTCGGACAGGGTCTGCCACCAGAGTCTGCCCTTGGCTCTGAAAAACCCCTCTGCTCTTCAGCTGAGTGGCTTCTGGAGATGGGGGGGAGGAGATGGCTTGAGAAGGGATCCAGAATTACAAAGCCCATGTGCTCACTGACCTCGGGTGGGCTTGATGTCACCTGGAGGCCCTGAACTTGGGGGAAGTGTCTTTTATAGTCCTTCTTTGGGAAGAAAGTTCTTGCAGCTGCCACATCTTCTTTGCAGCTGCATCTCCTCCAAAGCCAGGATGGAGGCTCCAGTGTGCCTGATTGAGAACAGGAAAAATCGCCTCCATGTTTCTCCGGAGGCCCTTCGGTTGCTCTCAGAAATCTGGCAGCCGGTGGTGGTGGTGTCCATCGTGGGACTGTATCGCACGGGCAAGTCCTACCTGATGAACAAGCTGGCTGGCAAAAATTCAGGTGAGAAGGACTGAGATGAGCCAAGGCGATATCCACAAGGTGAAACCCCTGGATGGGAAAAGGAACGCCCCCAATTCTGGGGTTCGCTGCTCCAGTAGAGAGGTTGTAGATGGAGCCCAGAACTTTCCTTCTCCAAAATGCCCAATGTGAATGATCCAGTGATAAGCGATCCCTTGGAATAATGTGGTCTTACAGAAGATTAGCATCCTTTATGATATTAGGATTGACAGTAAGTAAGAAAGCACCAGGAGGCAAGGTGAGAAGCAATGGAGGGGAACTAATCGAGGAGAGAAACTCTAAGGAGAAATTTCCTAATGGTGAAAACAATTAACCAGTGGAAAAGCAGCCTTCAGAGGTTCTGGATCCTCCATCACTGGAGGCTTTTAAGAAAAGACCGGACAGCCACTTGTCTGAAATGATAGGGTCTCCTGCTTGAACAGGGGGTTAGACTAGAAGACCTCCAAGGTCCCTTTCAACTCTTGTTATTCTGTTTTGT